CTGTTAAAACTTTGTCAGATACAGCCCTATACCGGATATTTAATTGTACATGAGATTAAATACCCTACACTGAATAATATTTTTTGGTGGCCTTTATTTTTGATGGCAAACTGATGAGGTGGTCTTGTTCTGCCATCTGTCATAGATGACTCTTTCCAGCTGCTACGCAACTGTGTTCAGTAGCCTGCTGATCCTTCTGGACCCTTTAACATCTTTATGAAGTCTCACAATCTTGTTTCTTACTTACTCAGGCAGTTCCTTAGCATACGGAGCCATGCTGTATGAGACAAAACCTGGACCAAAACTGAGAAAACGGTGGTGTTCACGAGGTCTTTTACAAGTGTTGTAGGCCTTACTGGAAATAAGATGTGTGCTCACCTTTGATGCAGTGAGGTTGTACTTTGGGGCCCGTATTTAAAATGTAGCCTATCTGACCCGTTTATTTTTTTTATTACCCATGAGATCAGATACCCTCCACTTCAATAATATACAGTTATTGTAAGATAATACAATTCTGAACCACTTAACATTATAGTGATAATGGACAGGAGTGTACTGTTTAGCTGTAAACTGTAGCCCTTAATTAAACCTCCACATAAATGCCTTTGATTAAACTTGATTAAAAAAAGCTTTGGCTTTACTGGACTCAACTGTAAAGTTGCTGCCACAGGAGCACTAATGTCAACAGTCTCTTAAAGTGAGAACAAGATGATGGTCTGTTGTCCTCTAAACCCGAAGTGGAGAGAAGACGGAGAGTTCATTCAACTCGTGGAATTGATGCGTCTCAAAGAAGGTGAGGTGCGCTTCAAGTATTTTCATACGTCTGCAGATCAGTTTGATGATTCACTGCATCGAATCAAGCCATCTGTTAAGCATGCCAGCACACACAATATTCCTGTTTGTGTAGATGTAGCACTGAGGTTACAATACTACTAGAGCCGCGTGCATGCATGCAGCCCACTTAGAGCGTGCCTGTTCAGATGTGTGGGTGACAGTGTTGGTGGTAATACGTAGCTTGTAGTGTCTGACATGTGAAAGAAATAAGAGAGATAGGTTACCTGGTGAAGGTACTGTGGAAAGTGAGTGTCATCTCCTTTTTGTGCCAACTGCTCCAGAGACTCCAGTGGAGCAGGGATTAGAATAGGCCCTGTGGCGCGGGTATACACTGAACAATAAGTGGGCACTGCCATGGAGGTAATGTGCTCCCAGTTTGAGTTTATAGGTCCTGTGTTGGAAGGGGATTCTGTACCAGTACTCGTAGGCCCTGTGGTGAATGAAAGGCGCCCTGCTGTTGAAGCAGTAGTAGTGCTGAAACTTCTTGTTAATGAAAATGTCTCTGCAGCTGTGGCAGGTTCTGCATATGAACTAGCAAAGCCTCTGGTACATGTGGCCTCATGATGGAAGATGGGCTCTGTGGATGAGGTAAAATATTCTGTAGTGACATGAGCATTTTTTGCTCTCCTATCTGTAGCTCCTGTGATACATGTAGGCTCAGACGGGCTGGTGGGCCTTGTGTCTGAGGTTACAGTTGGTGTAACAGAATCTGCAGGCCTTGTGGTGAAGGCAGGTCCCAGTGTAATAGACCCTGGTGTGGAGGCAACCGATTCCATGTTGGAGATATGAGGATCCACTTCAGCATCACTGTGGCTCAGTTCCAGTGAACTGACCACTGGAATGACAGGGTATGTGGGATCTGGACTGGTTCCAGGGCTGAAAGGATACGGGGTGTCCGACAGACTGCCTACACAGGAAAGGAAAGACAGAGAAGGGACAGGTCACAGTGAACCTGCTGAAAAATATGGACTCACAAATAGCTGTCTAAAACTCCTGAGGAGCCATACAACAGGTTATAGACAGGTGTATAATGGGCTGTTAAGAGTAAAAACTGTCAGTAAAAATGACATTTAGATTTTGTGACAAAATTCAAAAGATGAAGTCATGAGCCAATTTACTAAAATTTGATGTCTTTTGTTAGTAGCACAGTACATCATACTAGCATAAGGTAATCTTTATATGTTAGACAGTAAGCTAACACCTGTGTGATTGGCTCTAGAAACCAGATAACTCTCATTCTCTCTCTCTGAGAGAATGAGAGTTGTGTGCCAGTTGTGTGTCATGTGTCAAAACCGCATGATAGTTATCAGAGATAACTTCTCTCTCTTCCTCTCCTCACATTCTTTGTCACCCTTTCACTCTACACAGAGCCTCCTTCCATCTAAACTGTGCTGTATCAGTCTCTAAATGTTTTTTCTTCAGTCAGGTGAAATGTCAGGTGATCAGAATGACACCATCTTTCCCAGTCATCCGGACCTCAGTTTAAAATGCCAGCTGCTTAAACCACCACAACAGACATTACAACAGTGAGTAGGAGTCTTAAAATGGAAAATTGATAATACATAAATAATAGGTAAACATTCAAGCAATATTTGAGAACAAGCATCTCCCATAGTTAAAAACCTAATCTTGGACTGCCAGGCGTACTATTACCATACTACATTTATTGGAGTGTCAGAATACTTGGTATTTAACTAAGAATAAGCTGGGCATCATTATACAGTGTAAAAATACCTTTTTAGGGGGTTATTTAGTTTGTATATTGCTTCTTTGTGTTTGTTGATCTTGTGCAGCCCTATAGCAAAAGAAAAAAACTCCCAACATGCATGTATTACTATCACATCGCAAGTTCAATATAATTTTCTCTTGAACCATTTTATTTTAAAGCTCTATAAAGCAATACTTTTATTTTAACAATAAATTGACCTGGTGGCATGATGTAGCAAGGCTACAAGACGGTAAGTGTACACTATCTCCCCGTGATAAACGTAAGACAAAGAGAGTGAAAAGCTAACAGCCAGATTTTCCTTCTCAGGAGTTGGACAAGAACAAACGAGAAATAAAAGACTTGCCATTTGCCAGGTGGTGAGAAACACAACTCCAAATGAATACTTGCTGCTCTGTGTCTGCTTGGAGTATAAATATGCAAGTGTTTGCCAATACACTGCTTGTAACAGTTTAAAAAGGCTTGGCTGTGTATCAGCTAGATTGCTGTGTTCTACTGCCCCAGAAATAGCAAAAAAAAAAGATTACTTATGGCAAAAAGAGGTACAGATTTGAAAGAGCATGTGCAACTGTACATCCATGTGTGTATATAATACCGTATGATTTTCTTTTTCAGTGGGTGCATGCTGCCTACCAGTTTCTGAATATGAAGAATCAGTCATGGGAGTATCTGGAGACTGGCAGCAAATTAAACTGCTTGATTCCTCTGATTCTTCCTCCTCTTCTACTTCCTTCATCACCTCATCCACATCTTCATCCTCATCCTCCTCTCTGCCTCTTCCTGTGTATCCCTTATTTCCTTGGTCCTCCTCCTTATCCTTCCCATAGTTAAGAGAAGTTTTTCGGATGAGCCCCGCTTCAGTTTGCGACAGAGAGAGAGTCTGTGTGAGCGTGTTTGTCTGGTTGAGGTTTCGAGTTTGGGCAGTGAGAACTTCAGGGTTGGGTAAGTTATCACAGAGGTCAACCTCACACATAGGAACTTGCGACATTACTCTACTGTCTCTCTCAAACTGACCTGTAGATTTAAAAAACACAGCAAAACAGAGGATCAGCTCAGCTTTTTTTTTTTTTATTAACAGCTTTTAGCTGATGCTATTTTGACAATAAAACTCAAACAATTAGACTGTGGTTATCAGGCTGCTGTGCTTCAATATGCAATATACCGTGTGGTGCTTTAGTGAGATTTAAACACTCACCACCATGATCCATTGGGCTCCACCCTCACAGAGTTTGATCTTTCAGCTTGAAAGTCAGCGCTGCCTGTTAGACAAGCCCTTCTTCAAGCCTGCAGAGTTAAGGAAGCAAAAGACACAGAACACGTTTAGCGTCAATCCAAAGACTTCAAACAAACCCTGACAGTAAAACACACATGCAGAGGATTTACAATATGATATGAATAACGCAGTAACAATGTAAACACAGAGTAGAAAAAACACTTAAAAGAGACATACATTAGGCAAACAGAACATTATAAACTCCAATACAGTTATAGTATAGTTTATCCAAGACAACAGCACGACAAATTATGGCCTTAAGAATGACAATGAAATGAAATCAAAAGATCTGACAGAAAAAATAAGGTGCTCAAAGAAAGGATTTATGATAGGGCTGTTGGCTGACTACACCTGCATTAGATTATGCAGCAGGTGTACAAACTGGTAAATCGGTGTACAGTGTAAACCAGTATTGTGCAATAACGCACCTTTTCATTTTTAACACCCAGCTCAATCAACAAACCTGAATATAAAGAAACGTCTGTTTTCAAGATATGAATAGAAAGAACTCCAACTGCGAGACAGCTGCCAATACTTGCAGAAACTGCCTTAATCTTTCTGTTTGACATCTGTACCATCTGCAAACCCCGTTTTATTAACCTAAACTACCAAATATAAACATTCAAGTTAGGGCTCCTACTGTAATACTAGTATGGCATAGAATAGTATGAATGACAGTATATAATACTAACCGTCAACAGTGATTTAACACCCTAAACAGTTTTTACTATCTTTGGTGATATTCTGACTCCATGATGTGGTAAAATCCAAACCCCCAACAAGCACACACTTCCAGTCTAATAAAACCAACCTCAGAGGAATAGGTCTGTCCTGGTTTCCTGCAGTGCAAAGCTAATTGTTCTTCCTCTAACCCTGTACTTCAGCTCAGCCTGAACATCTTGAAAAAAAGAAAGCCAGGACAAACACCTAGAACAATTTCAGTTCTCTGTGTCCATTTTACCATTAAATCCCTTATGGAAAATGGTGCTTAAAATATGGCAGCATTTGTTTTCCAGAGAAATATCTTGGGAAACAAATCTATGAAGAAAACTAGACAGCACTCAGAGAGTGCAAACCTCCACCAAGGGGCATCACAACATAACCATCTTGCATTTAGGTTGCATAAGCTCTATATATTTTAATAACACCTTCTGGATACCTGCTATATCCCAAAAGGAAGCCAAGTCTGCTTCCCTAGATACCAACATGGAACAGAACCAAGTATGCCAAGAGAGACCGCTTGGAACCTAATTATTCCCTTTGGACAATAAAACTGTCCCAGACTATGACAAACAACTGTGCCATTAGAACTTATGCAATAACAACCTCCAGATTACAGACAAGGGTCTTATTGCACCTGTTCTTATGCTCTGCCGATGTTTCTATAATCACTTTGATGTCCCTCTTCTATAGTGCCTTCTGTCCGTACAGCCACCCATCTTCCTCTAATTTTTGTCTGTGCCTTGGTCCACAGGACACCATAAATAATGAAAGACAGAAGAAGGGGCCAACAGGGAATGTTTATTTCATTTTTTTAGCAGTTAAGTTTTTTTTTATATGGTCTTATTTTATATGTTTTTTTCTATTGCTGTACTGACTGGAGGTCACTCTAAATTTCATTGTGTTACAATGACAATAAAGGATTATCTATCTATCTATCCATCTATCTAAACAGACCCTGTCCTGACAAAGACTTGAGACAGACAGCAGAGCTAGAGACAAACAGGGCCATATAGATGGGTAATAAATGAAAGCAAAAACCTAAAGTGATCAACAGTGCTCCTCTAACAAAACATTCTGCCCAAGACACTTTTTATCCCCATTACACCAATCAGTAACATAGAGCTGCAACAACTGGTTGAAAATTAACAGGCAACTATTTGGAAGCAGCAATCATCAACATTTTCTGGCTCCACCTTCTTTAATGGAGAAAGCCATGCTTTTCTTTGTCAGACATGAGAATAAACTCAACATCTTTGGATTTGTTGGACAAAACAAAACACTGGAAGACACCGCCTTTGAAAGTTTTTACCAATGTTTGACATTCTGTGAATAAAAAGACAAATCAAACAATATATATATAATAATCAGCAGATTGAGTGACTGCTGCATCTTTAAAAATTCCATTTAATTTCTGATCCATTTGAAGGTGTCAATGAGAACGGACACATGCAGACATACTGTGGGACAGGCACGCTGACAGGTCACAGTATGTATACATACAGCTTACACAATGCTTAAATTAGCTTAAAATATATCACAGACTTGCGGTATTTGCATCCTAATCATTCAAAGGGATGGGGTATTAGTGTCGGATAGTCATCAAGGTGGGCCAACAGGTCTAGCTGGTTAACCTAAAAAGGATACGTCAAGTACACATATTTAACATTAGCTAATGCTGAATATAAGTGACTGGAAAAACATAGACAGTGACCGAAAAGCAGTTACAGCAGATGGTGAATGTCATTTTCACCATAATGTTACGGACACTGCTTCTGTCAACATGGTTAAAAACAGATGCAAAAAAAAAAAAAGCCCCCCAAAAAAAAAAAAAAAAAAAAGCTATCTTAACCTACGTAGACTGTAAGATCACCTAGCGTTAACAGGACATTAGCTTCGCGGCTATCGTTGCTGCTCAAGCGGCGTTGGTTTAACGTTATGCTTCCTGACAGGCTTGTACTGTTTCATCAAAGTGCTGGAAAACACCTGAGAAGGGCTAAGCTAATAACTAGTTGGATGGCGATACCTGTCGCTACGGTGACAGATCAGCTAGCATGCTAGTTAACCCGAGCTAGTCGTCTACAACAGACACATCTGGCCAACACTCCGCGAAGATAGCCTTCAAATATAATCACACTTTCACTTGCTTTACACAGTTTGAGATCATTTGACATTTACAACCTCTGACATAAAAAAACGAGCAAACAGTACTTACAGCTGAAGGTGACTGCTGAGTGGTAAAACCTGGGGCATCTGAACGACAGGATGAGGATGTTGAAGTAAACACTGCAAATGTTACCACCAGCCGCGGGAGGCCGCGCGATTATCGTCAGCAGGCCTGCGGCTGGTGGACTGTCGCCCTCTTCTGGCTCTTCCCTGCCAGTACATAGATTTTGATCGGCAGAGGAATTTCTCCACAATACACATGTACACATTTGAGACAATGGGCCCCACCCCTCCTACAACAGAGCATGAATGTATTATTAATAATACATTCATGCAATAGAGCCCAAGACTAAAAGAGACCCCATATTACATCAAACAACACACCAGTGGCCCCATTTACTCAGTTTTCAGCAATTTTGCATCTGTAACTGTCTTGCATGTCTTTGTAGTATTGTTGCAACTGTGCGGGTGATTGGCGCCTTTCTGGTAATTTTGAGCCACCTTTTTGTTGTCCTGCATATGTTTAGTTACAAAAAACATTAGGCCTATCACACTATGGACTCCTGCAAAACTTAATCCAAATCCAGTCTAACAAGGAGAAGCAGGCAATCAAATCTACTAGTTAGAGTAAAATCATTTATTTGAGAAACTATTTTTCTGGAGAACTATAACTCAATGAACTCAAGCTTTTAAGATGAGCACATTGTTCAAAAACAAAGAAAAGCTGTAAAACCGTATGACCAATTTAATAAATAACTGTCTTCCTTGTATGTAAGCAGGGGAGTAAAAACAGGAAAAGGCAGAGAGAAAGGTAATAGATTTAGTGGGGCTGAAACACCCCGACTCATCATGTGCACACATAATAAAACATGGCTAAAATCGGTTTCTTCCACAAACTAAATTATCAATGCATTCAACGATTGATAAAAACGAGATACGTTAGACATGCCACTTACACATTCAATTAAACATGACAGTTTGAACAAACAAGTTTATGTACTTTCAATGACTATACAAAAATATACAAAACATGGAAGCTATGCAGTGAAAACCTTCAGTCCTTTATGTGTGCAGTCCTTCTCAGTGAGCACTTCCTGTGCTACCAATGCCTAAGATATGGTTTGGAAAATTATGCAATACAAGACAGATGGAGGGTTGTGTTCTGTGAAGCTGCTGCTGTCTTCATGTTGGAATTTAGCTTTCATGGACTTAACACATTAAGACCTTTAATCTGCAGCCATTTGAAAATCTGTTAATGCTGCAAATCATTTAGAAGTACCACATACAGTAGACCACTGAAACAAATGTCTCAAATTCAAACTCATGGAAATACTGGTTCTGGACAACAAAAAGGGCCTAAAAATGTTCAACAACATCAACTCTTTATGCAGTCAAGTGCATCTGTTCATTTCATTAATATTTTACTTATTACTATATTGTGTTGCTGTGTATTTATGTATCTTCTGTGTGGCCCTATTTAACATGTCACACATTATTCTTATTTATGTTACATCATTACTATATCATACATATGTGTTTAGAGTGTAATTTTGTGTTTTAATTCCATAAATCTCTCCATGTGACCTGCTCGTCTATATTTTAGCGCCAGCCCTCTCTCTGTGTGTTTTCCAGGATCTCCTCATAAAGCCAGCTCTGTCTGAACTCCTGGCTCTTGTCTATCAGCTTGAACAGTTGGAGATACTCGTCTGGATACAAGTAGCCTGTCAGTATGTCCTTGGGCAAGCCCAGTTCTGCTACCAGCCTACTCCCACTGTCTGGTGACCAGAGGCTGCAAAAAAAAAAAAGAAAAAAAAAGACAAAGAATAAGGAAGAGGAAACCAAACTCAGGAAATGTGTCAGCTGGAAGAGGCTACAGTATTGCTATAGTATGGATGCATGTGTCTGTAAGTCTTCTGCCAAGAGCGATTCTTTGATGCAGTACGTGCAGCGTGTGGGCCTAAAGCCTGTGTTCCAGCTTCAACAACTGTGTGTCTGTGCAATGCTTACTTGAGTCTGTCGACGAGTTTGACCTTCCTCTTTGCCAGACACTGTTTGACCATCATCAGAAGAGTTGAAGCATTAGAGGGAGTGAGGCCTGAGGAGAACAGATCAGCCCGTGGACGCAAACGCACTAGGCACAGGTGGTCATTGGGAAGCTGGGGGGAAGAAGGTAAAGGGTTACCAGGGTGTTGTTTTAAATGCACTATACCAATCAAGTTTGCGTAGTAATTTCTGAGTCTGCTCTCTTCCTTACATTGCCCTTAGGACCATGAAAACTCTGCTTTGAAGACACCACAAATGACTCCCAGGGTTCCTGCAAAGACAGAGACGAGGAGGCTGACAACTACAAGACTACGTTCACACTGCAGGTCTTAATGCTCAGATTGGATTTTTTGCTGAACTCCAATTTTTTTGCGCTGTTGTTCACACTGTCATTTAAATGCGACAGCCATCTGTGTCATGTGTGAACAATGCGCAGAAGAGGACGTGATGTAAGATGCAGCGTACTGTGTTTGCAGAAATAAAAATGGATGCGGCTCGTGATAGCATGTGCGTAGCGATGTACCAGTTAATGTGCAATCGAAATAAAGAAATAATAATAAGAACATCAAGAAGGAGGATAGCACAAATATTGCTTATGGCCTCGCCTTCTCCAGCGCAGAATTGTGACGTCTGTCGCATTTCAATGACATAAAAATCGCATGAAATGCGACATGGCTCTTCAGACTGAAGTCGCATTGCAAAACATCGGATATGTATCCGATTTAGGACCACATATGAAAGTGGCCAGGGCCGGATTTGAAAAAAATCGGATTTGTGCTGTTCACACTGTCATAAGGAAATCGGATATGGATCACATCTGGGCAAAAAGATTAGATTTGAGCCACTTCAGCCTGCAGTCTGAACGTGGCCCAAGACTCCTCCCATCAGATTTACATTTATGTTGTGTGGAAATACTGAAGTGCACAATCACAGGCATCAACTTCAAGGAACTTTCATTCAGTTTTTCTCTTTTCACTGGAAACTCGGGCTGAACGATTAATCATTGTCAAATCGAAATCACAATTTAACGGAACGCAATTTTCAAACTGCAATTAAAGGATGCAGATTCTAAACAATCTGAGTGGTGTCACACAGATCTGCCCTCTTTCGCAGGCTTCACATGAAGCCTGCAAAGTAAACAAATAAGCAGACAAGACACACCAATAAATGTCACTTCAGTGTTGCTAGTTACACTGAAAATAGCCATAGCAGAGGCAAACCCAATCACTGACGACCAAGAGACAACACTAGTGGCAAAGTGAAACAGTACGTTGCTCACCCAGACTTAGTTTTATTAGACCAGAGGATGCAGGATAGGAACAGGTAATGTGCCAAACATGTCTGGCTAAAGCAGCAACCATGTGAGGCGACATTAAAATAAATAAATAAATAAATCTCTTATGATAAATAAAATGGTCTGTCCCATTTTTTCGTATTGATCATTACGGGATGCAATTTGTCATTTTTAATGCTTAAATGTATTCTCCACTGTGGTGAAAACATCACAATGCTAAGTTGAGCTAAACATGCACCATCATCTTTATATAACAGTTGCATAATCAAAATGTTATTGGCATCCTTCCCCGTACGCTACCTTGTGCAGGAGTTCGATATCACAGGCCATCTGCCAGAGGACACCGAAGGCTCTGTAGTTCATCATTTGACCCGGACGTGCCACCAGTTTCTGAAGGAGAAATCCACAGGGATCAAAGAAACACACAGTCAGATTATGTCTCCCTTGACTTGTGACTGTCAGCATGGACATGGCAATCTTCAGGCCTAATCACTAAATTGTGTTGGTAATACTAACAAGTGCAGCATGTGAACTGGCTCAGATCTGGGGAGATGAATATAGCCAACTTCATCCTCATGCAGACAAAGACACACCATGTTATACTTGACTGACAGAGACTGAACATTCTTTTACCAGGTACTCCTTCTCGCTTATGAAGAGGTTGAGCTCTATCCTTCCATATCTGTAGAAACTTAGCCGTTGAAACAAAGCGTAAATCATCTTCAGCAGCGTGCCGCGCTCATTACGCTGGGGCATGATACCCACCACCTTCACTGGGATGTCTAGATACACACACACACACTTTAGATTGACTGTGCACTGTACATGGCAGTGTCCAATCAGTTAAGTGGGTTACTACATAAAAGCTACATGGCAAACCCTCGCACTAATTAAATATGATTTTACTTTTTTTTTTTTAAACCATTCTTGATTCTTAAAATTTTCATTTAAACCCTTGAAACCTGTGAGCAATAATCAAGTGTATTAAGCCTTTATGCTCAAAGGAAGGATTCATTTCACTTCCAAGCATTAGAATAATGTTTACTGTATGAAAGAGGTGGGGTGTGTTTGCAGCCAGAGAGGCTGAACTAAAGGAATCCCCTTTGTATCCATTTATGTATGAGAAAGAGATTTTACAACACAGGTCGCTGCACTGTTTGTGTGCATATTTTTCTCTCACCATCAGTCCAGCTAGATTCTGATATTCCCAGATCAGTGAACAGTTTGTCAGCAGACATGACTGGGGGTCTTACAATTCCACTGCCAATAGGGTCTAGTTTAAAGTAATCGCAGTGGACCACTTCCAACTGACCATCAAGACGACCTTCCAACTCCTACAACATGAAGAACAGACTGAGACTGCATGGGTGAATGTGAAGACTTGAGAAGACAGACAGACCCCAGAAACTCTGCAGAGAAATCCAGGTGGTTCTGTTTCTCTCCCTCTCCATTCATATTACTATACATTGTTCAATAAATGATGATTGGCACTGCAGTGATTCTCCCTGTGAATTAATTCTATACACGACAAAGGCAAAAAAGAAAACTGAAGAAATAATGTCTCATATTTAAAATGAGTTCGGTTGAAACTCGGGATAAGGACCACATATGGATACAAAAAGTCATATGATTCTAAGAGGTGTTTGTTTTACCTGTAGATCGTTAAGGAAGGGCCTGTCCCCTTCAAGAGCCACAACTCTCTGAGCGCCAGCATTAAGCAGTGTCCTAGTCAACACCCCAGGACCTAAGAGAGGCAGACAAAAACACAGCTGGTCAATTTACTGTTGTTTCACTGACAAAACTAATAGAGTCCACAAACATAGAAATCATCTAAACATGTACACATATCTTTCACTTTGGCACCCGAGTCAAAAACAGAATAGTTTACTTTGTTCATGTTTGTGCCAAATTTAATGACTGTTACACACCAAACGAACACATCAATATTCAGTCTACCTTTTGTGTTTCACCCCGACTTAAATATTCTACAAAGACATACCTGGGTTACATTCAAAGATAACAGTTTTAGCATCCTCGGGTCCTAGGTGCTGTGCTACTACTTTTGCCAGTTCTGGGTCCACAATGAAGTGTCTCATTGTTTTGCAGGCCTGAGCACGGTGAACATTCTCCTCTACATCTCCAAGGTCCAAGAAGTCATACCGGCACAGAGGCCGACACTGGCCCTGGAGAAAGATGAAGAGTGTGCAAACAATCAACAACATATGTGAAACAAGCCTGACAGCAAATTGATAACCACAAACTCAATATTACTATCAATACACACATTTTCTCATCAAATAAAAAGGTTCAAGCAGCAAGAAAAAAAAAAACCACAGTATATTAAGATAAAACCACATATATTAAAACTTTAATGGTCCCTGAGGCAAAACTGGAGCACTGCAGCAGCAAACTGAAACACTGCAGGCTAACCACAGTCAGCTGGGGCAAATCATTTGAGCCTAGTGCAAGATTGGAGTAGGTCTGTGTGTTGTGGAAGTTGACAAAGCAAGACCATGGTGGTAACAAGACATGCTGGAGGTTTTCCCAGCTAGTCTGAAAGCCTTTGTTGATCCTTTGCTGTAGGAAGAAAAGTGTTGCTTCGCTTGCCCTTTTGTCACTGCAACACAAATGATTTAAAATGAGTGAACACCTGCAGAGCCATGGACCATGTGTGGGAAAAAACACACATCATGTAAATACCACAACAATGGCAGTTACATAATTCCTTAAAAGCTGGGACTTTTCCATAAGCTTACACCACACTGATAAGTACACAAAGAAGCACAGACACCAGTTAATCCACAGCAGACACGCATTTCATACACTCCACATATACACCAAGATGCAGTGGAAGACTAGTGTCTAGAATACGGATAACTCCCTACCTGTACAGCCACAGCAGACAGGTTTGTGTGTGTGCGTGCAGACGAGTGGGATGTCCTATCTGTATGGGGCTGCTGTGAACTTGAACCAAGCATGGGCCAACCAGGACCTGAAGAGGGGGAGTCCAGGCTGTAAGCCCTTCTATAAAGAATAGAAGTCCCAGTAGCACAGAGGCCAGACGGAGCCATAGGGACCAATAGTGCCTTGTGCAAACAGGTTCTACGTCTGATGGCCTGGCAGCAAGCAGAGCGCACCGCCAGCTCCACCACTCTACGGATCTGCCTGGGCATGGTGGATCACTGGATCTAGTATAGAGAAAGATGTGAGGGGTTTAGTGACCTCTTCAAGAGGTCACTGCCTAGAAGGAACAGTGAGAAAAGAGGACAAGGGATTTCAAAATTAATAAATCATTTCAGTGGCATTAACTCACATTTAAACATGCAGTATGTTTCTTAAGGAGTCCATGACTGCTTTTCTGTGTTTTCTGACATACAGTATCTACTATGTTACAATGACTTATCTTAAACATGACTGAAAGCTCAAAAAAAACAACAACATGTACTTATGTTGCTGTACTTCAATACAGAAGCAACTCTGTTTCTACAACTCTCATGAACTCTCCATGAGACTTTCTTTCAACTATGAAAAGTTTAATGCTATAGTTTATGGAGTTCCTTGAATGGCCATATTCTCCAGGCTGTGTGTGTTCATGCTTGCCTGACATCCACTGGTGGGATTCTAAAAGCCGTATTTTTCAACTGCACATGGTTTTGTGGATATATTTTACCTCTTGCTGCCTGCACTGTGACCAGAGAATGTGGAGAAAAATACAAGGCCTGAAGTTAATGCATGTCCAGGAATGTTCATGTAGAGGGACTCGTTTTTTTTTTTACCTGACCAGGTTTAAGGTGGCTGAATGGAGCGGCTAGAGAACATACAATCAGCCGGCCAGTGAAGCACACAGGGGCGGTGAATGATCAGCTCATCAACCTGGATTCCCCTAGAGTACAGTACCGGTTTGTTTTGACGGCTTGAGGCCAGTGTGTCTGCCGCATGTGATGTGTTGTGGGTTGGCGATGGAACTCTAACGATCCATGATGTTATTGCTGGTGCCAGGCTACCTGCTGAAATTAATTTCACTGCTGTGGGAAAGTGGTCGCCT